ATTTTATTCATGCCATAAAATAGAAACTATATATTGTTTCATTTCACTTTATATTATATATATATATATATGTGTGTGTGTGTGTGTGTGTGTGTGTGTGTTAATAGAATTTAACGTTTTATTAGTTGCAGTGACTAGATAATGTATACACTACATACATATGCATACTTTTTTTTTAATGGTATTGTTTCAGGTGTGAAAAACAACATGATAAACAAAAATATGAAAAAGGGAACAACAACATGAATGATGTAAATTATCAAAAATTGCAAAGAAAAATTTAGGTTGTAAGAATTAAGCATATGATATATGTACTGCCATAAATAAAATGATTATAATGATACATACCTCAATAAAATATGGCTCAACTTAGCTGGAGTTAAGAATAAAATTAGAGCTTCGTGCTGATAACGTGTTATGAAATAAAAGCAATTTAGTAAAACATGAACAAGAAATAGAGAGAATGAAGAGATTTTCTTCTTCAATTGTGTGTGTTTTCCTATCTATTACAAGGCCTTTATATAGACATAAAAAGTGAAGAAAATATGTCATGGAATATGTCATTGAACATACAAATTATGTCATTGAATATGTCATTAAACATTTTAGATGAAGATCATGGAAGAAGAGTAGACATCCACCATAATGTGATATTCATCATAACAAATTTAACTTACTATAATAGGTTAATTATCGATTTTATCCAAATACCATTCAATACTTGATGCATAATTTTTTGTGTAATCATCTTATAAATAACCTGATTGTGTAATTAACCTACAAGTAATTACCTCATAAGTGACATGATTGCATAACTTAGACATAAAACTTAACTCGAAACGTAGTACAGAAAAGCGAGATCCAATGTCTAGACTATATTCAAAGAAAGCTCTGAGAAAGACAATCCAGCATCAAATTCATCCACCTTTTCTCCTGAATATGCTTAACCTGTGCCTGTTCCCATTTTGGTCTGATTCCCCCGTGAACCATTTTTTTGTCATAATCAGATGATTTTGGTAGTGAAATAAACCTGAAAGAATTCTACTACAATTTACAATCACTATATTCCCTATTCAAAACTAAGGTTAGCAAACTGTTATGAACTGACTAGGAAGTTTTCTTCAAGCGGCTTTCGCCATAAATAATTAGCAGCTTCAATCCATCTTGGATGGACCAAAAATTTCTTTTCCTTCACTGCCCAACGCGATTTGTCAGTTCCAGCATCCATGGAGACCACATGTGTCACCGATTGATCGACTTCTGTGGAGCATGTGGCTCCTAATTGCTCAGCCAATTTCCACAAGTGGTGATTTTCTGCTTGGAATTGTGTAGGAAATACCCGGGTGAAGACAATTTTACAACCCTTCAGTATTTCCTTCCGAACTTGTTTCAGCACCTGTAAAAATGCCAACAAATTCTTATTAGACTACACTAAGTGTCCATAAATAAATTCTCTAGACACAAGACTGAGACAGGTTTAAATGAAGCGACATGGACAATTAGGATTCATATAGCTAAACCCAATTTGCTTTGGATTGCTTAGCTGTTAAATTCTCTGAAACATAAGTGATGCCGCAGACTCGCGCCTTGTTGAGGGCCAAAAACGCTCCAATACCCCCATTACAAGTGATATCATTCAGAAGTGATCGTTACACTTTAAGATATACGATCTATGATCATACAACTTCAACTTTCTTTAAAGAACCGAGATCAGCAGAACATAGTATTCTTTCATTTCTTTATTGGAAAGAGCCTCTCTACCTGTTAGGTAGGGGTAAGGTCTGCGTACACACTACCCTCCCCAGACCCCACCTGGTGGGAACATACTGGGTTTTTTGTTGTTGTTGTTGTTGTTGTTCCCCTGGACTGCCCCCAACCTCCACCTCTTTTGGGTAAGGAGGGGGAAGAGCGGAGGTGGGTATTTTCAGGATTTGAAGGTCCCCCATAAGCTCAGTACCCCTTATTATGGTTTCCAAATTTCAGGCATCATAAGCTACATTAAGTTATTGGTAATCAGCAAAAGACAATTATATCAAAGTTCACTCAGGACCAAATGTTAATTAACCTTTCATGGGAAATAGGTATTGCACATAAGTCAGCAATATGTTAGGTTAGTGTTACTTTCACAGACTGCAATACAGCCAATACTTGTAGGCAATATGTAGAAACAACTAAGGAAGTAAGCCTCAAACCACCTTAGGCAGCAGAAAGGAAGCTTTCGAGTAAAGTAATGAAACTATGGTGATAAACTACGAAATGGACACAAAGCACTCAATAAATATTTATTCAAGAGGTGTACACACGATGTTGAACCAATGCATACCGGGAATATGACATGCAAATACATTCCCTTCTCCGTCACAATTAAATGCAGTCTACTTTGACTAGCACCGTTAAACCCCATAGGAAAACAAACTTTATGGCGATTAGAGTCATGTTGGGAGCTCCAACGTAATTTTCTCAGACATTTGGCGAACAAAATCACATCCATGCTTAGGCTATTAGAACAGGACTTTTAGAGTTTGGAACAAAAACCATGTTCCCTAAAACAAACTTTCTTCACCTCACAAACTTAGTAATTCAAATTTCGTTGCCGAATGCATAAATTCACATCAGTCGGAATCTGTTTTATCACAAATCTTCTAAAATCCATGTTTCCTTAATCAACTTTGCAATCACTTACTAAGCGTAAAATTTTTGGCAGAACATTGAACTTGGTCTTGTCTGACAAGACCAAGGAGGTGGGGAGATCGAAGGGAATGTAACGCACCGTATCGGGGTGCGGTGGATGAAATGGAGGTTAGCATCTGGAGTCTTGTGTGACAAGAATATGCCACCGAAACTTTAAGGTAAGTTCTATAGAACGGTGGTTGGACCAACCATGTTGTATGGGGCTAAGTGTTGGCCAGTCAAGATTTCACATATCCCGAGGATGAAAGTAGCAGAAATGAGGATGTTGAGGTGGAGGTGCGGGCACACTAAGATAGATAAGATTAGGAATGAGGACATTCGGGAGAGGGTGGGCGTGGCTCCTTTGGATGACAAGATGCGGGAAGCGACACTTAGATGGTTCAGGCACGTGCGGAGGAGGAGCCTTGATGCTTGGTACGAGCGGTTGTGGCTCTGGCAGATACGAGAGGAGGTAGAGGGCGGCCTAAGAAGTATTGGGGGAGGTGATCAGGCAGGACATGGGACGGCTTCAAATTTCCGAGGACATGACCCTTGATAGGAAGGTGTGGAGGTCAAGCATTAGGGTTGTAGGTTAGGAAGTAGTCGAGCGTTTCTCCTTGTTGTGCAGGCTAGTCTGATAGTGTTTTGTCCAGGAGTGCTAGCGGTTTTTGTTGTGTTTCACATTTTTGATGTTTTCACATTTTGGCCTTTCTATTTATTTATTGTCTTTTACGATGCTGATTCTATTTTTCAGGTTTTTGTTGTTACGGATCTATTGTCTCTGATACTGCCAACCTAACACTACATAAAAGTAATGAAGGGATTATATTTTATTATACAGCCAACTAAATATCGCATTAGCTATGGGGAGACTATTCTTTTCTAATCGCCGACCAAACATTGCATTTATTTTTATGCTAGAATTGCATTTATGCTAGAATTATTTTCCAAATCCCTCCAACCAAAAGACCCCTTAGTCTTTTACCTCGCTAACAGGGGCAAAAATTAAACTTGATAAACTTCTTAACCACCTAAGTTGCTTGTTAGTGAGATTTGGGAAAAGGGAAAAATAAAATTGGAAAACGACGAAAGAAACCTCCTATTAAATTATGTAAAAGGTAAAGGGCATAATTGGCTGACAAAGAAACCTGCAGGTAATGTTAGCAATGGCAGAGTCAGCTGTAAGCTGCCGTTCTGCAGCAATTTTGCTGGCCACGAGATCAGGCCATGAGGTTACACCTGCCAAAGCTGTGAATGCAATGACGTACGGATTTATTCCTGCAGTTACATTATGTACCATGTATATTCTTAGGTCGAGATAAGCATATAGGTGGACGAGCCGAGGGTCTCCCGGAAGCAACCTCTCTATCCCTCCAGGGTAGGGGTAAGGTCTGCGTACACTCTACCCTCCTCAGACTCAACTTGTGGGATCCTACTGGGTTGTTGTTGTTGTAACATTGAACTTGGTCAAAAATAATTTAGCAGAGCTTCTTCCTTTTCTATTGTTGTTGGGATAAGTGATTCAGAAGAGTATTTAATAATGTGAAAACTGGATTTTTGGTTTATCTTAATTTGAATTGTGGAGAAGAATATTTTATGAGGGGTTAGGTTTTTGGAATGGGCAGAAAAGAGTAGAAGTTTCTTTTATTAGGACGGACCAACGGAAGGAGTACTAAACTAAAAGTCGTCTATAAATTAAACTGTTTGTCAAGAATTTTACCTGCCTAACATCTCGCTCCATAATATTGTCCCTGCGTTCCTGAAAGAAAAATAAGAAAAAATAACCTCAACAATGGAAGGCAGCTACAATCAAAAGTAACAAAATTAGTAAGTACTACCCCCTTCGAGCCAATATAGATGTCCCATTACATGATTACTTAGGTAAGAACTGAAGTTTTTTTGTATTCAAACGAAGTGGGTAGGTCCGTAATTGTAGAATTAGTTTTGAAGTATGAACGTTTTCTAGCATAAAATTCGGTTTCCTTAAAATAAAAGAAGAACTATTTAATTATGTTATGGTTCGTTAAAATAAACTGGACAGATTTTGAGACGACTCAAACAGAAAGTATGAGTTAATTTTGGGGGAGGAATAGCAAAAAACATACCGGGTCGAAGAACAGACTGTGGATCTGTTGCAGTACTTTTAAAACAGAGGCAAGCGCTCCCTCAGCTTCATTTTCATCACTTTTCGTTGCAGAAAGTGATTTACATTTTAAACCAAATTGTCGACAACTTGAGGTAAAGAAATGATAACGCTCCATCAGTATTAGGTTCTCCTTGTGTTTTCCCCATACCTAAAACAACACAAGTTTCAGTTCCCCCAAAAATCAACTCATTTCTCTAACTAAAAATTAGAATTTAGAAAAATATGGAACTTGATAATAGTCTTCGCTCAAATGAGATTACTCAGAGAGCTTTAGACACACAGCAGGCCTTTCAGAGATTCATGCAGTTGGGACCAGATACAAGTTTAAGATAGTCATACAATACAAACATAAGCATTTAACTCAAACTAGGAGAACTCAAACCAACTATCGGCAACATCAAGAAAAAGTATCCATAAATAAAAACACAAGAAAAATAACTAAGACTTTGATCAAATAGGGAGTAATAAGCAACGGAAATTGTTCTACAGTTCTAGACACAAAAGGTTTATAATGTTTGTGCTGAATTAAGAGAGTTTCTGGGAGCAGAAGATTACAGTAAACTACTGTTTTATGAATTTCAGCACAAACAGACCCCATTTTCAAAAAAAAAAAAAAAAACAGCACTTGCATTTGGGAACATAAATGGGAGTTAAAGAAAAAAAAATTGATGACAGCTATTAGCACAACTATGGTTCATAGAGAACTGACTAAAACATGAAGATATATAATGAACATGTAGAACAAGAAACTGGTTTGTAGATATTAAAAAGTTCCAAAGAGTATCTGACAAGAGATACAATGGAAAGCAAGTGGAGCAGAAACTTGTACATAATTATTAATTGCAGGCAGCCCCTTCAGGGACATACAATAGTGTTGAAATGATAGAACTCAGCACAAGGATAACACACAAAGTGAGAAACCGTCCAATTTATTAATTGCAGGCAAGAGCAGCAAATTGTTTCATTCCATTATTCAAAACTTGCTTTCAGTACGTCAACAGCAACTCCTGCATTTTCTCCACCCCCCAGCAAAGTGCCAGTAAAAAGTGGTAATCAAATGTAACCTGAACATGCTTAACAATCATTAAAAAAGAGGGAACTACAAATGTGAACGCATAACACGAACAAAGAACCGTTGATAACAATCAGGCTCAACGAAGTTCCATGCAGATAAGTTAAACTCCAAAAACAAATCTGAACTGTCAGAATAGCAATACATGAAAAATGGAAAGCTGTCATGGAATTAGGGTGGCGGGAACTTAAATTTAGTCCAATTAACTCTCCCTTTGTATGTATGAGATAAGCCTTCAACGGTATTAGCATTCTTTTTCTTTGAGAAGGAAAATTACTATATGGAATAAGAACTATCTCAATGGTATTAGCATTCTCCTAACCACCAAAGAAATTCTTTCATTCTTCGTGGAGGGAACATGATACTCCTAGAGAATTGCTTACCGCTTCAGTATCATCAAGGATCAGGACAGCACTTTCTTGACCCACAACAACATCAAGGCCCTTTTGATGCCTCTGGGTGCAGTCTCCTTGAGCAATCACTCTAGAATGGAAGTAGATACCTCCAGGGTCAAGTAAGCTTGCCATTTCCAATGCATAAGGACGTTCACCCATTGTGTAAATGTACATCTCGAATAAACTACTGGCTTCTTTCAGGAAGGTGTGGACAAATGGCCTCAACTTTGTCATCATGTGTATCCAATCCAATTTGAAAAGGTTGCTTCTCAAAGCATCTGTATATCACAAGTTGGCAAAAACATCATAAAACAGTGCAGAACAGATACCTACAAAATAACTATCACGACCAAACAACAAGAATAAAAGCAAAAGAAGTCCTTACCATATATGAGGTCTAAGCAAACTAGTATAAGAAAAGACAAAACTTAATGTACACGATGACAAAGATTACCACAAAGAATTAACAAAGTGAAGAGCTTACAAAGCTCTAGGGTTACAGGCCAGGTTATCAAACAGCATAATTTAGATGACCCACATGTCAGAAGTCCCAAAAAGGGAACATCAGTTGCAATCAGAACATGATATATCCATTACACTTTCTAATCAAGAGCGCCAGCTAAACATTCTTTTCCTAGTCCAGGCTTCTGCATCATTACAAGACACTAGTAAACATTAACTCTGCAAAAAACATATACCACATCATCTAAAATAGTGTAATCCCTCCCCCC